AAACCTATTTTTTTTGGTTGAAAAACCAGCTGGAACTTAGAGCTTCCATCATCCCTTTTGCATGGAGAAGAGACTGAAGGTAATTCTTTACTCCCAGGCATTGTTTGCACATTAGCAAGATTGTGTTGTAAACCTCTAGTTGTCCCACTCATCATCTCAAGTTTTCCAAGTTTCTCATTAATTTCATTTAAGCGCCTCAGAATACATTTAACTGTTGTAGCAGTCAGTTCTATTAAATTATCCAGGTGCCTTTCACAATCACAGCAGCTTCCTTTGTCTCTTAAAGGGGCAGTATCTGCTTCTGTTAAAAACTCTTCACTTTCTGTCCGCTCGCTCCTGGTTTTATCAGCTAAAATTGCATATTTATTTGCAACAGGAATGTTATAAGCGATCCCTTCAGCAAAAAAGTCATCTATCTTCGTTTGTTTATGTGCTGGAGGGGAGAAAATTCCATCCCCCTCAGTATCTCTTGGGCGTTTTCCAGCACCCATTAGGCTTCGGTTACAAAGACAATTTTCAAGAGCCTAAGCTGATAAGAAAAAGTAAATGCTGAGCAAAAAGAGCAAGTCCAGTATTAACAATACGATATATCTTGTAAATCCAACAGGGAGGCAATTCAGAAGAAGAATAAAACAAAAAGAAAGGAGGCACAAAAAAAAACGCTCACCAGCCGTCGGCCATCTTTCCCCCTCCAATATCTTGATCCTTAAGCTTCTGTTTATGAGCACACATCCGCTCCTCAACGGCCTCCAGGCACCAGTTCAGGGTTTCTACAACCTCCCTGGGATCAGATGGAAGTGTGAGAGACAGCTGAGCATCATTTGCGTATCGGTGACAACCCTGTCCAGATCTCCGGATGACCTCGCCCAGCGGTAGATGTTGAAGAGCACAGGGGACAAGATGGAACCTTGCGGGACAATGTAAGCCAGAGGCCAAGGGGCTGAACAGCAGGTCCCCAGCACCACCTTCTGAAAAGTGCAGAAAAGGGCAACTCGAATGATAAAGGGGTTGGAACACTTTCCCTATGAGGAAAGGTTAAGGCGCTTAGGGCTCTTTAGCTTGGAGAAAAGACGACTGAGGGGAAACATGATTGAGGTTTACAAGATTATGCATGGGAAAGAGCAGGTAGAGAAAGAGGTATTTTTCTCCCTTTCTCACAATACAAGAACTCGTGGGCACTCCATGAAACTGCAGAGCGGTCGGGTTAGAACGGATAAAAGGAAGTCCTTCTTCACCCAAAGAGTGATTGACACTTGGAATTCACTGCCACGGGAAGTGGTGGCGGCTACAAGCATGGACGGCTTCAAAAGGGAATTAGATAAGCATATGGAGCAGAGGTCCATCAGTGGCTATTAGCCACAAGGTATAGATAGGGAGGGACTCTGGGGCAAGTGATGCTCTGTCATCTTGGTGCTTGGGGGGGTCAACAGTGGGAGGGCTTCCAATGTCCTGACCCCACTGGTGGACCTCCTGATGGCACTGGTATTTCTGGCCACTGTGTGATACAGAGTGTTGGACTGGATGGGCCTTTGGCCTGATCCAACATTGGTGTCTCTTATGTTCTTATGTTTAAACCTCAGGTAGGACCGGAACCACTGCAGAATGAAACCTACCCTCCAGTTGTAGGCCCATAGCTACAGTGGGGCTTTTGGGGGCTCTGCCCCCTTTCTTAAAGGCATAGCCCCACAAGAATTTCTCCTGTAAATGCTCTTTTCAACTGTTTTAGAATATTTTTTTAAAAGGTGTGTGCTCCTTTAAGCGGAGTTGGGTGCTACGGTTGACTAATTCCTGCACTGAGCAAGGGGGTTGGAGTAGGTGACCTCTAGGATCCCTTCTAACTCTGTGTCAAGAAACTGGTCTCCTATAAGAGAGTTTTTCTGCCTAAGTGTTGGCTTTCTTGACTATAGAAGTCATCACCCCCCCCCACCTGCCGGCTTGTTATCAGAACTGTTGCTTAGGCTGGAAGAAGCGATTAACTTGCAGCAGCTGAGAACTGTCATCTGAAGTGGTTAACATCCTGCAATTTAGTGCTCTATCCTGGTAACAGCTTTCTGTTGGCTAAATGGTTAATAGGTTAAGTGTGATTGCTAGCGTAAGAACGCCTATGTAGAATAGGTAGCTTGAGAGACGAGTGTCTGAGTCACAATCCTCAGAATTCTGCCTTTTCTTTCTGCACTGAGAACTTCAGCCCCACCAGAAAAAAAAACCTGCCCCACAAGCCACAAAATCCTGGCTTACGGGCCTGCTCAGTTGTGGCCCAGAAAGGCAATTCAGAAGGACACCATCACTGATGTTATTTAAAGCCGCGGAGAGATCGAGGAGAATCGACAGAGTCCTATCCCTCTGTCTGTCTCCTGACGCAGGTCATCCATCAGGAGGACCAAAGCTGTTTCAGTCCCGTAAGGTAAAAGTTTCCCTTGCTTGAAAGCCAGTCGAATCCGACTCTAGGGTTGCGGTGCTCATCTCTGTTTCCAAGTCGAAGAGCCAGCGCTGTCCGAAGACGTTTCCGTGGTCATAACCAGGCCTAAACCTGGCTTAGAAAGGATCTAAACAATTTGCCTCATCCAGGGAAGTTAGGAGTTGTCTAGCTATCACCTGTTCAATCGCCTTGCTCATGAATGGAAAATTTGAGGTTGGTCGATAATTATGGAGCTCTGAAGAGAGCTGAAATTAAACTCACTTTGGGTTGATTTTGACGGATGCGAAGGTTACTTTGTGGATTGTGTTGGGGTATCTTGTTTACTCCTTGTCTATTCTTGGATTTTACAGTCCTGTCTTCACCTCATATCCTGCTGATTGACTGTAATGCATTTTTGTTTTTCTTTGCTGTTCTGTTGCATTTCTCTCAATAATAATAATAATTTTAAAAAGTCTGGGGCAACGGCTCCCTCTCTTAAGGAAGTATTAACTACTTCTCAGACGCAGTCAGCCAGCCCCCACAGCAGATTTAAGTAGCCAGGAAGGGCAAAGGTTATACATGCAGGTGGTAGGCCTCAAGCTTCCAAGGAAGTAGCACCTTGAAGCATTTTTGGTGCCCCCGCTCCTGTCAGCTATGCTGCCAGGAAGGTTGGGGAGGTTGGTCAGTGTCTGGTTAATTGCTATTGCTTTCCTTTCAGGTTAATTGCTACTGCATTCTTTTCTGTACTGTCTCTGCTGTGTGCCGAAACGCTTATCTATACAGATGTGCAGGAGGGTGTTGTAGTGTCTGGGATTGCCCTAGGTGCCGTGGGAGAGTGTTCGTTCTCAGCTTCAGCTACCTAACGGTCTCTCAGCCTTATCCCGCACGCGGGAGGGTGCCTAATTGGCCAGTGCTGGGTGTGTGTGTGTGCATACGAATACCCTATATCCTATTATGCCCAAGGGGCCACCGGCATTCTTAACAGTGCCTATGTTACTGCATCTATAGCTCTGCAATAAAAGTATTACCGTTCCTGAATGCGTGTACTTCGTTGTTGGCTGTGGGTTCTGACAGCTCCCCAGCCAGCGGGCATGCCTTTTATTGGCTCGTGGGGGTCTTGGACCCTTAGGCTCTGAATTTCTCTGTCATGCACTTGTTGGAAGGAACTTCCCCGCCATTGCCTTGCCTGGGGACCACCTGTTCCCATATAAGCATGCCTGACAATTAAGATCAGCATTTGAGGCCCGTCTACGTGTGTCCCCGCACTTTCAAGAGCATGGGAGGCAGCAACCAAAGACTGATACTTCTTGCTCATATCGTCCCAACTGCAGAACACCACTCCCTATCAGTAGTTCATCTCGCACCTCACTTCTTATGTTTTCAGCATGGAATGAAGACTTATTTGCCCAGGTTTTCGATTGAGTTATATGGTGGTGCTGTTTTCTAATCTCACTCCTTTTATCATCGCTGTTGGCTGTGAGCTGCTGGGAGCATTTCTATTGGAGTTTTCATAAACAAATCCTCAGAAACTTTTGTTTAGTTTGCGCCACAGACACCTCTCTTTTGAGAAGGCCAGGCCATTTCGAGCCATTTTTTTAACCTATTTTAAACCCATCGTCTTTCCATTTTTCCTCCAGGTACAATTCAAGGTGTTAGTTTAAGAAGGACCTGCCTTGGGAGGGATCCTACACACACTGTGTTCAATTGCTGTCCAAAGTTCGACAGGCATTTACAAGCAGGGTCTTTGCAATAGTGGTGCTAGGATTATCAGGCCCACTCATTTGGTTCTGTCCCTTTCAAGTTTTAGAGGGTCTCAAAAATCCAGTTCTCTTTAAACAAGAATTCTGTTGAAAGAACCGGAAATACTACTTTTGGGACTTAAAATGGAAGAAGTCAATATGGCAAAAAGGACACTGATGTGGTATATGATCACGACTGCCAGAATGACATATGCTCAATGTTGGAAACAAGATAAGGTCCCTGAAATTGGGGAATGGATTAAAAAATTACTTTTCATGGTTGAAATGGATCAAATGACAAGGAAACTTAATAATTTGGAAGCGGAATAATTTTTTGCAGACTGGAAAGACTTTAAAGACAATTTGGAGAAATACTGGGATGTAAAGGACAATTTACTTTGCTTTGAGAATTATTGAAAATTAAAGGATAGTAGAAAATAGATAAATGTATAAGAACAACAGTTGAAGGATAAGTTACCTGTGGGTGTGAATAAAAAGATAGGGAGGCATGAAGAAAATTTAAGAAATGGGCTGGAGGTTGGAGCACTGTGGGAAGCCGAGAAGGGGGGGGAAGGGAGGAGGGAAGGATATATAATTGTATAAGTTTTGATATATGTTTGAACGGTTTTTTTTTTTCATTATATCCTAATAAATTGTTTTTTGGGAGAAAAATAAACAAGAATTCTGTTTGCAGTGTTGGTCCTTGGTACTTTTTGGCTTTGAGTTATCTGATGTTAAATTAGGATATACACACTCGGTAAGGTTTTGTTGATAAATCTGCCAATTCCCCGCCTCGGAGTAGATCCACCCCAGACCATCTCGACACCAAGCAGCAGAGGCAAGGAACAGGGGCACTGGCTCACCTGGGGCTCACCACGTCTTGGGGTACCTGGAACCACTCCTGCAGCTTGCTCTCGAGCCCCACTCCCACCTTGACCAGGTACGAGCTGGGGTCCACACAGCAGGCCCAGTAGCTACGCCCCTGGGTGACAGCCACGTCTCCAATCACCAGGTCGATGGACAGATGGCAGCTGGTCATGAGCCGCTCGGCGGCAAAGAGCATAGGCAGCCCCGGGACACTGCGGACGGCCCGCTGGTCCTTGCTGATAGCCAAGCGCTCACGGTTGAAACCCCACCGATTGTCCAGGAAGAAATTCAGCACTGAAGGGAGAGAGGACATTAAAACTGGCATCAAGAACATTCGGCTTCAAGACTAGAGATGTGAAGGCCCGGGGGAAAAAAAAACGGAAAAATTCGGGGGGGGGGGGGGACGGGTTTTTTCGTTTTTTTTTCTGAAGCTTGAAGCCTTTTTTGGGTTTTTTTTTGAAAAATTGGAAAAATTGAAAAAAGAAAAGGAAAGGAAAAAATTGATTATGGAATGTTTTATTTTAACATGATGAATAAAATATTTTAAGACAAGGTGTTCAAATATTTTTCCAAATCATTTCTAATATATATATATGGTATCAGATTGATCTAATTTCTGTGCACTGAGGACAAGCAAGTCCTAGGTTACAAGCTGAACTCTCCAATGCAAGAACAAGAAGAATTTCTTCCTTTAGGAGGTGCTATTGTCAGATGAAAAGAAAAAGGTTTCAGTTTTGTTTTTGCATGTGGGTGGGTATTCTGTTTGTAATAATTGTTTGGATACACTATATTTTTAATATGCTAGTTGTGATAATTTCATGCCAAGTAAAAATGTCCATAGTCATATTTTATGTTCCTAAAGTAACAGAATGACTTTCAATCTAGAAAAGACAAAAAAAATGCTAATGTAGCATTTTTTTCAATTCTTCCGAAAATTTCCATTTTTTCTGAAAAAACCCGGGGTTTTTTCCAAGCTTCAAAATTTCCAAAAATTTTACATCTCTATTCAAGACAGACTGAAGTCTAGACTAGAAGGACTGAAGGTCTAGATTGGCCTCAGTGGATCTCCCTGTGACTTTTTAAGCTAACAGAAAGTCAAGTGTGGAGGAGAGAAAGTTTAACTTTTCCCCTTCGGTCCAATGGTGGCGGAAAGCGCCGTCAAGTCACAGCCAACATATGGCAACCTACAGGGGCAGGAGAGGCCAAACTTGCTCAACGTAAGAGCCCCCGAGAATAAACGTCAGGTGTTTGAGAGCCGCAAGGCATGAACAGATATGACACGTTTTTACTGGGAAATACGCAAATCTGCTTTTTATTAACATTAACCGAGACTGCCAAAAACAATATCAAAAGCGGTAAAAGCAGATATTGATAATTGTATTTATTCATCCAATGATATTTGTTTGCTAATGATATTTCTCTTCCCCAGCCGCCCTGCCGGAAGCCGCACAATAGGTGTGAAAGAGCCGCAGGTGGCTCCAGAGCCATAGTTTGGCCACCCCGCTATAGGGGTTTCGAGGCAGGACATGAACGGAGGGGGTTTGCTGTTGCCTGCCTTTGCGTAGCAACGCTGGGCTTCCTTGGCGGCCTCCCATCCAAGTTCTAGCCATGGCTGACCCTGCTTAGCTTTTTGAGATCTGATAAGAGTGGGCTAGGCTGGGCTGTCCAGTCAAGTAGGTGATATTTCAGGGCTTTTTTTGTAGAAAAAGCCCAGCAGAAAGTCATTAGCATAATAGGCCACACCCAACAGCAGAAACCCAGTAGCATATTAGGCCACACCCCTGACATCACAGATCATTAGCATATTAGGCCACACACCCCATGTTACCACACCCACCTTTTGCTTCTTATTCTGTTTACTTTGTTGTCAAAACCCTGGGCTTTTTTTGTAGCAGGAACTTCTTTGTATGTTAGGCCACACACCCCTAATTGTAGCCAATCCGAATGAGTTTCTGCTGTTGGGTGTGGCCTATTATGCTAATGATTTTTTCCTGCTGGGCGTGGCCATCTCGGGAGCGAGCTGGAATGCCGTTCCTGCGCGTTCCTGCCCAAAAATAGCCCTGGTATTAATCAAAATACCCCCCTGCTTTCCCCAGTGCTGTTATTAGACTCAAGGAGGGGGAGAAAGTTACCCATCTTTTTTTTATGTGCCTGATGGATTGAGTGGTAAAGGGTTACGCTACCTCCCACCCACATGGGGGCGCTGCAGAATAATTCAGCTTTCAACTTTTCCAGGGCCCCGGTCACACGGAGCATTAGCCACGCTAGAGGGACGGAAGATAGGCGGAGTTTCCGGGCGCAATCTCACCGGCACATCTGGGAAGCGTCGGGCTTCCGTGGCGCCACCGAGGCTTCCCGCCGAAGACGCGCAGTAAAAAACTAGTACCTCGGAGGTACTAGTTTCCTGAAACCGCGGGGCAAGGGCGGGCGTCTGATCGCGTTTCCGGAGGTAGTTCCGGTGCCCGCCCATGTCCCCTCGGAAATTTTTTTTTTTCAAAGTCTCCACGGATGCCCACACGCACCCAAGGGAGCATGAGCACAATTGCGTTTTTTTAAAAAACAACCAACCCGTTTGCCCTGCACCTCGCTTCTTTGCTGCGCCGCAGGACTGTGGAGTGATCGGCACCTCCCCCCTACCACGGGACCTCGATAGGTAGGTTTGCTCGAGCAACCGCACAGTTTTTAGCCCCGGGGCTAACAGCCACGTTCCCCCACCCCGGAGTTTCCTGCCCGTGTGACCGGGACCCAGGAAGACCTGATTATAGATCTTTGAAAATTTTGTCTGTTCAGACCTGCAGATAGCCCTCCAATATCAAGCACTGTATGTATTAATTTGGAAAAAAATATCTTCCATTTATTGTCTTTGAGGAGCTCTAAAACACCTTCCTAGTTTCACTGGAGAAACCTTGCCAGCAACGTTGCCACTTTTCACACACACTTTTTATATCGTTGCATTCTTACCTGGTGCCGGTGGCGTGTGCAGGTAGATGTCCTCGCTGTAGTCCCCAAACCCGGCCTTATTGCAGCCCCTCACACGCAGCACATAGATGCAGTCAGTGTCCAGGTACTCAACAACAGCGCTGGTGCCACGCACCTCCTCCCGTCGCTGCCACAGCTTGAGGGCCTTGCCCTTGGGCTCGGCCCGCCGGAACTCCACCGTGTAGTGCCAAGCAGGCGGGGAATGCTGCGGCAGGCGCCAGCACAGGAAGATCTGGTCATAGGCGTAGGTGCGCTGCGTGTCGATCACAGGGGCCTCGGGTGCTGTGGTAGGGGTAGGAGAAAGAGGGGAGAAAGGGGGGGAGACGCATGGTAGTCAGACAGCAGTTGCGGGCATGCTCTAGGCATTCGGGACTGACCGACAAACAACCAGCTACAGGCTAAGGGTTTCCAAAAGGCAAAAAAAAGAAAATGGCGCATGGCCACTGGAAAGAGCGGCAGGAAGAAGGGAGGACGGACTTGGGAGGAAGAGAGCGAGCTGCTGAGAGACTTCAGGGAGCAGAGAGAGGCTGAGTGCGAGTGGGGGAACGGGGTGGGAGGGGAAGAGGGACGGACGGAGAGAGAGAGAGAGAGAGCAGGCGGCCATGGGGGTGGAGAGAGAGCAGGATGAAGGAAGGATAACGGTGGGTCCGGTGCGTGGGGAAGACAATGGTTGAAAGGGAAGAGGAACGGAAAAGCGGGAGAGCCATCGAACGGCCAAACTGGAAAGTGGTTCAAGATCATACGGGACTGCCTATCCGAGAGGAACGTTCAGCACACATTAAAATTTTATTGTCCCTCCACACACACCCCGCTTATTTTTTACACCTTAGCTTCACAACCGAGCAGCAAGAACGTAATCCTCACAACGGTACCAAGCCTGTCAGGTGGAAACTGTGCCTGTCCCACTTCCTCCTAACGTTTCTACCTCACGGGGTGTTCCTGAGGATAAAATAGGGGAGGAGAAACGGTGGGAGCTGCTCTGAACTCCATGGATGTGGGGCTTGACAGAAATGCAGCCAACAGATAAAACGATATCCCTCCATCATGCCTGGATCCAGCCCCAGCCAAGAACGCTCTCCTCTTCCGAGCGACCAACTGCCAGCAGGGAGGCTGGAAACACGCCGTCAGGCACCTCGCTATCACACCCAGCTTGAGAATCCCCTCCCAGAACACTTTCTGTTATTATACATTAACTGATAACCTGTAATTTTTGGGAATTGCTCTAAACTACTTTGGGAGTTCTGGCTCAAAAGTGAGGAGGAGAAAGACACCCAACAGAAAAGCTCATATTAAAATGGTCAAAAGAAGACGAAGAAGAGAAGAGATGGGATTTATACCCCGCCCTTCACTTGGAGTCTCAGAGCGACTGACAAACTCCTTTCCCTTCCCCCTCCCCACAATGGACACCCTGTGAGGTGGGTGGGGCTGAGAGAGCTCTGACAGAAACTGCTCTTTTTCAAGGACAGCCCTGCCAGAGCTTGTGACTGACCCAAGGTCACATCAGCAGGTGCAAGTGGAGGAGTGGGGAATCAAACCTGGTTCTCCCAGATTAGAGTCCGCACACTTAACCACTACACCAAACTGGCTCTCAAAGTTGGCTTTGATAGGTATCTTCTCTTTTCTTTTTTTAATGGCTGCCGTTAGCCTTAGTCTCTTTCTCTCCTTTCTACCATCTGGACTCTGCTCTGAGCAGCCTTGATGGAGTGACACACATTCGGACCTACAAAATCGCTGTTACCAGAATAAGTTGTGGAGGTGATATGGCTATACCTATGGCCCATCACGAATACCAGGAGTCCAATTATAAGTATACAAGGAAACAACATCTGGTTAAATTATATGTGTACTAAAACTCTGTAACAGGTCTTTGAATGTGTGTCTAGAATATATAGATAATAGTGACCACCGAGGAAGGCCCTTAGGGGCCAAAACGCGTTTGGTCTTCAGTTGTAAAGTATTTACCCATCAGATGTATGTACAGTGGATAAGCTTTTATAGTCTGATCTTAGACAAAGCAATTTTTAATCAGGAAAGTTTTAACATGTGTACACCTAAATAAATATTCGTACTTTTATATATATATGGTTTAGCTTAGCCCTTTTTGGTTCGTAGTGAAGAACAAAGACCCATGTACACTGCTCTGAGCTCCTTGGAAGAATGGCCGAACGGGTTCATGGGATATCAGGGTAGCAACTGCGAGTCTCAAAGGCAGGGAGGAATGGAGAAAGGGAGCAGCAGTAAAATGCGGCAGGCCTCCACAACTCTTTACACGACACCCCCCCTTTTGGTTTACCAAGATACAGTCCACCTCCCATAACTGTGAGCACTAGAAAACTCGCTTTTGTTAAAAGTATAAAAACAGCACTGTGTGAGGTACCATCACTGTCTCCCAGAGGTCATTTCGGGGGGGGATCGCGGGGGATCGCAGTTCCCCCGGGTGAGGTACGGGGGGGGGCACATGACGAA